TGTGCACATGTGCAGATTTCAGATGCTGTGTACTTGCTAAGAATCCTGACTGGATTTGCATATACCCAAATAAGTTCCCCACCCAAGAATAGTTTTTCCCTGAAACCATACCCATAGATACATTTCCATAGTACTTCACATTTTATATAATTTTTCATTTTTTAAATCTTTTTGTTGTTGTTGTTGTGGGGCTTGAACTCTGGACCTAGGCACTGTCCCTCAACTTTTTAGCTCAAGGTGAGCACTCTGTCATTTGAGGCACAGTGCCACTTCCATTTTTCATTTTTAAAGACAGTACTGGGGCTTGAGTTTAGGGCTTCAAATTTTCTGGGTAGGTGTTCTACCACTTGAGCCATGTCCCCAGCCTTGTTCATTTTTGCTTATTTTTTTTCTTTCTTTTTTTTTGTCGGTCATGGGGCTTGAACTCTGGGCTTGGGCGCTGTCCTTGTGCTCTTCAGCTCAAGGCAAGCACTCTACCGCTTGAGCCACAGCACCACTTCTGGTTTTCTAGCAGTTTATTGGAGATAAGAGTCTCACGAACTTTCCTGCCCTGGCTGGTTTTGAACCACAGTCCTCAGATCTCAGCCTCCTGAGTAGCTAGGATTACAGGCGTGAGCCACCGGTGCCCAGCTTTATGTTTTTGCCTTGGGCTAGCTCAGACAATGATTCTCTTACCTAAGATAGCTAAGATTACCAGCATGTGCCATAATGACCAACCCTTATTATTTTCATTCTATTACTATTCCATGTTTTGACACAGGGTCTTACTATGTAGCCCAAATTAGCCTCAAACTTGGGGTCCTTTGCCTTCTGAGTACATAGTGTTATAGGTATGCACTACTAAACCCAATTTGCCTTTTTTATTTTGTTGGTCATGGGTGAGCTCAGGGCCTGGGCACTGTCTCAGCTCTTTTGCTCAAGGCTAGAGCTCTACTACTTTGAGCAGTAGCTCTAGGTTTTGAGTGGTTAATTGGAGATGAGTCCCCCTTGGGGGGGAGGGGGTCTTTTCAGCCTGAGCTGGCTTCAAACTACAATCCTCAGATCTCAGCCTGTTGAGTAACTAGGATTTACAGGGGTGAGAACTACTACTTTGAGATAGACATTAAGGGGCTGGGAAGGTGGCTCAGTGGTAGAGCGCTTGCCTTGCATGCCTGAGGCCCTGGGTTCGATTCCTCAGCACCACATAAGAAAAAAGAAAAAAGCCGGAAGTGGCGCTGTGGCTCAAGTGGTAGAGCGCTAGCCTTGAGCTGAAGAACTGAGGGACAGTGGCTCAGGCCCAGAGTTCAGGCCCCATGACCAGCAAAAAAAAAAAAGAGAGAGAGAGACATTAAGAGGAGACAGAAGAAGGGAACAGATAGGGAGTGGGGTTTTACTCATTGTTGTGCTTGCTTTTTGTTGTTGTTGTTCATTGTGGGCCTGAACTCTGGGCCTGGGTGCTGCCCCTGAGCTCTTCAGCTCAGGGATAGCACTCTACCACTTGAGGCTCAGCACTACTTCTGGCTTTTTCTGCTTATGTGGTGCTGAGGAATCAAACCCAGGGCCTCATGCATGCAAGGCAAGCGCTCTACCACTGAGCCACCTTCCCAGCTCCTGTGCTTGCTTTTTTTTTTTCTTTCTTTTTTTAAACGGGATGGAACTCAGAACCTTGCATGTACTTGGCAAGTGCTCTACCACTGAGCTGCATCCCTAACCTGTGGTGGTACTTTCAGTGAACAAGTATAGCCAGAGGCCAGATCACAGCTGAAAGGGGGCAAGTTTATAAGAAGGGCTAAGGTAGCACATAGCTGACCACAAGCAAGTGACCCAGGTGCTATGGGCCTGTTTGATCCTCCTAGGCTCAGGCCATGTACCATTCACAAAGTATCCCCTAGGAATTGGAGAAACCTTAGGGCTTATATAGTTAACCCTATAGCAGACTGGGTTGCAGCTGTAGCCTACTTGATACTAATGGAGATCTTTGCCTCAGGTCAGAAAACGGGTGAGGAGATTACCATTCTGGATTTTAGAGTATGACCAATTGGGTTCAATCTCCATATCCTTCCCTTTCCTGCTTAAGGAATCGTGTTAACTTTCAAAGCTTCCTCTTCCCAGTCTAAATGAAGAACCGCATATGAAACTCCTGACTCACATACAGAACAGTGGTCAGTGAACATACATGGCATTTGCAGTTCTCCCCACTGGTCTCGGTGCAAGGGCCCAGCCTTCTGACGCCTGCTCACCCATTCCCATGCCCTTCCAAGCATAGCATTCCAGAATTCAGCCCCAAAAGGAAAAAAGGATCATGAAGCTCTGAGTGAGACTGAGACACTGCTCAAAAGTAAGGGCTGGGCCTTCCCTGGGCCTTTCTCTCCCAAACCTCAACCTCTTCCCTCCCTTCCTCCCTCCCCATACCCAGTGTGAACAATCCCCTTACCCTTAGCCTTCCAAGACTCTTATTGAATGCTTTTAAATGTTTTTCTTTATTTAGACAGAAAAGACCAACTCTTTAAAAGTAAAATGCAATAAATAAATAAGTGAAGCATAGAGAACTGTCCGAAATTGACTCCCCAGTTTCCCCTGACCCCTCCCCCCCCTCCCCATCTTCTTTTCCCTAAAACCTCTTCCTAAAGAAAATGATCAGGTAATAAACCCCCTTGAGCCCTCCCCACACCCCTCCTCCCGAATACCCAGTTACCCACCAAAAGCAAAGGGGAAATAAAGAGAGTGAGAAAAACTCCAAGGGCAACATTGTCTAAACTCCCAGAAAGGGAGACGGCAGCGTCTGGCCCAGCGGGCAGGGCAGACGGGCTAGATAACGCACGGGTGGTAGTGGTATTTACACGGAGGGGGCCAGCAGAGACTGTAAACATTTTTAGGGGTTCAGGGGGAGGTCTTTTCCTCATGAAAGGAGGAAGGTCTCTGTGGCTGACTGGCTTAGAGCCTGGGATTCAAGGGTATCCTACGTCTAACAGAGGGTGGAGGGGAGTGTGAGAGCTGGCTTCTGAGAAGCCCCTACTGTGGGGAAGGGGGGGGGCAGGGGAGGGGGGAGGAGGCCCCGCTACCTTCCTGGGCCTGCACAGGCTGGAACAGGCCCACTCGTGGGGGAGGCGAGTACGAACGAAATGATGGGTACAGAAGACCCGTCACAGGAGCCCTAGCAGAAGGCAGATACCCTGGAACCTTCGAGCCTATTCCTTGCTCCCTCAACAAGGCCAGAAGGGCACCTGAAGGAAAAAGGCCCTTGGAGCCAGGGAAGCAAAGCCGTGGCCCTTCAGAGAGGCAGGGTGGTGGGAGGGGCTGAGTTCTGTGCCCCCAGGGCCATGAAGCAGCTTTTGCCCCAGAGCCCAATCAAGGCCCAGGGCAGATGTGCAGAGGGGCTGGAGCCAGTGGGGGGAAGAGGGTGAGAGGTGCCCCTTCCTCGGGTGTCTCCAGACCTGCGAAGGAAGGAAACACTGGTGAAGCATGGAGAAGGCGGCTGGTGCTGGTGACTGGCGCTAGCAGGAAAGGGAAGGGGGTGGCTGAGGTAGGAGATGGCATCTAAAATGGGGCTGCCTTAAGAAGGCAGATCCTCAGAGAGGCCTCAGTCCAAGCAGAACAATCTGCCCCCACCCGCAACCCCCAGCCATGAGCGCAAAGGGCAGGGGTACAGGAGAGGGGGAGGGAGGGGATTCACTATACAGAAACCAAAGGCTATTAGGAAGGAAATAGTCAAAAAGCCCACGAGAAAAATAACGACTGTAAGATAGAGAGATGGAGACCTAGAGGGTAAGAGAGGCAAAGAAATGAGACCACAAACAGGCAGGCAGAGATAACTAAGAGAAGAAAGGAGAAGGGGGTGCATGAAGGAGACAGACACCTGGACAGAGAGTGGGAGCATCCGCAGAGAAGGCCAGGGTGACCCAGGATGGGCTTAGGGATGGAGTCTCATGGGGTGAGACCGCCCCCAGCCCCTAGGTAGTGCTCTCATTCCTTTTTGGAAAGGAACAAAGAAAGCAAAAGAGAAATGCACAGTACACAGACCACAGTCACCAACCACTGTTGACCCAAGCACATCCCGCGAGCTGCCCCCGGCCCTGACCCTGGGCTGGGGGGCGCTTCCCTCCGCGGCCCCTCCCCAAATAACAAACAATTGGCTCCAAAGACAACACGCTTGGTCCATGCAACTTACAAGGGCCCGGAGCAGGGGTCCGGGGATGGGGGCTTCAGCCGACAATGGACACGGGCCCTGGGCTGGGGGGGGCCCCCAGGGTCGGGGGGGAGTTAAGCAGCCAGGATTGGGGGGGAAAGGGGAGAAACAGAAAATATGGGTATTGTTCATGGGTTGTGTTTTTTTTTTTTTCAGGGGTTTGGTCCAAAGGAGATTAAACCACATAAAAGTAGCCAAGGCTCACACATCTGTGGCTCTGGCACTGGGGTGAAGAGGCCCTGATAATGAAATTCACAGGCAGTACACTGTTCCAACCTCCACTTAAGCCAAAATAGCTCCCAAGAGGCCTGCAGATTGCCTCCCTGTCTGTCCTGTGCTCGCTCTTTTTCAAGGGGAAGGAGGCTCTGCTGCGTAAGAAAATCATCTCGAGTCTAGGTCAACCAGGACCTGGTATCTGCACTTCTCAGGAGAGCAGAGATTCTAGGAGCCAGTGGTTTTAAGACCCTCCTGAACCAGCCCTCTTCCCCAAATCCTACTCTTCATTCCATCCAACCCAAAGGAAAACCAGAAAGAAGATACACACAGACACACGGACACTGACCAGACAAACGAGACCAGATACTGTGGAAAATCTGGGAGTGGACACAGATAGATAAGAGACTTGGCTCTTTCTGGGGTCACAGGGCTGTGTGTGTGTGTGTGTGTGTGTGTGTGTGTGTGTGTGTGAACAATAGCTGAAGAACCCTCCCAGGATCCCTGCCTTATGCCCAGAGCCAGGAGTGGGGGTGTAGGGATGAGCAGCCCCAAGGGTGGCACAGTATGCAGGGGCTGAAGAGGAAGGACACAAGACAGGAGCAGCACCCACCTGGGGCCCTTAGTAGGGCCGGTTGGCATCCTTAGGCCGCTTTAGCTGGACTTTGAGGCGCTTCATGCCAATTTGGAACCCATTCATGGCCTGGATGGCAGCCTGGGCACTGGCAGGATTGTCGAAACTCACAAAGCCTGTGATGAGAGGGTCATAAGGCCTGGCCCCTTTGCTCTCCTGGCTTAGGGCCAGGGCCTGTTGGGTTTCCCAATACCACCCTACTTCATCCAGGTATCTCTAAATGCCTAGAAAATTGCCTACTAGGGCTGGGAGGTTGGCTCAGTGGTAGAGCGCTTGCCTTGCATGCATGAGGCCCTGGGTTTAGTTCCTCAGCACCACATAAGCAGGAAAAAAAAGCCGGAAGTGGCACTGTGGCTCAAGAGGTAGAGCACTAGCCTTGAGCTGAAGAAGCTGAGGGACAGTGCCCAGACCCAGAGTTCAGGCCCCACAACCAACAAAAAGAAAAAGAAAAAGAAAATTGCCTGCTATATGGTAGGCATTCAGAAATTCTTCACTAGTGGGTTTAAGAGTGAATCCAGTCTAGCCATTTGTACAAACTGGGACATTCGTTCCAGCCTTCTTTGCAGGGTGACCCCTTGCTCAGCCTGGATAGTTTTCTGAACCCATGCTTTGCAAATTGCTACTTTCTGCCTCTGAATGGCTTTGAAGCAGGGCACTGAGGGCTTTTAAAGATGTGATACCAACTAAAGCCTCCCTTTTGAAAATCACACATTCCCAGACTACTTCATGAAACACACCAATTGGGCTAGGGTTTTTGTCTTTTCTGGTTTGGCTGTTTGGGGTTTTTTGGTGCTGGAGGTAGAACCCAAAGGCATTATGCATGCTCCATTCCTCCAGTTCCAAGGCTATACTGGATTTGTTTGTTTGATTTTTGCCAGTACTGGGTCTTGAGCTGAGGGCCTTGGGCTGTTGCTTGGCTCTTTTGGGCTCACAGCTGGCACTCTACCACTTGAGCCATTTTTCCAAGTCTGTCTTACTGGTTAATTGAAGATAAGAGTCTTGTGGGCTTTTCTGCCCAGGTTGACTTGGAATCATGATACTCAGTTTCCAGCCTCCTAAGTAGCTAGGATTACAAGTGTGAACCACCCATGCCTGGCTCCAAGACAAGTTCTTCAGGAGAAAGATGAAGCTGTAGAGCTGCATGTTGGTGGCTCACACCTATAATCCTAGCTACTCTGGAGACAGGAAGGATTGGGATTTGAAGCTGTAGGGAAAGAAAAGTATATGATACTCCATTTCCAATTAATCAGCAAAAAAGCTGGGCGGGAACATGGTTCAAGTGTTAGAATACCAGCCATGAGTGAGCAAGCCAAGTGATTCAAACCCTTAACTAGCAAAAAGGAAAAAAGTGAAGCTGCAGGAAGAGAGAGCTATAACTGTGGTATGCCTAGATGTCAAAGATCTTTCATAGCCTTGGGTACTCAGGACTTCAGATACTAGGTCTACTGTAACCCTAAATGCCTCCACATGTATCAGACCTTGCCCTAATGTGTACACACAGCTGTACACACAAAAATGTCCATACTTTGTCTTTTAGATCATCATGTTCTTACCAAAACATTTGCTTTGATTGGTGGCTCGGTCAACAAAGACTTTGGCTGAGATGACATGGCCAAAGGGGACAAACATCTGGAGGATCTCTGAGTCCGTGAACTCCTGGGGTAGGTGGTATATAAAGATGTTGCAGCCATCAGGGCCTGGGTGCCAGTAGAGACAGAAGGAAGAGCTCAGTGACCAGGAAATGCAGGATTCAAGCAGCAAGTCCTGGGAAAAAACAGAGCTGGGGAGGACCCTCCAATCTTAGCCCAAAAATGTGGGCCAAAGCTCCCTGCTTGCTTTTATCCCCACAAATGGGGCAAGAACTGGACTTAGCACAGGACAGTGGAGAGTTCCTGGGCTTACGACAAGGGCATTTCTATCTCTGAAGCTTCACAGCTATGAGGACCTTGCCCCAGGCTGGCACCTTCTCGCTGCTGCTGCTGCTGCTGCTGCTGTTGCTGCTGTTGTTGCTGCTGCTGTTGCTGCTGCTGCTGCTGCTGCTGCTGAGGTGGGGGTGGGGGCTGCTGGGCAACCAAGGCTGGAGGCTGCGGGAACGCAGGCGCAACCAGGCTGTAGGCCGCAGGGTAGGCTGCTAGGGTGGGAGAAGAAAGAGTTCATGGCGTCCTCTGACTCCTTGCAGACGACCTGCTCTCCCTTCTCCTAGCCCAGGCCAGCGGAATGCACAGGGCTGAGAAGTCATGGGGCGGGGGGGGGGGGAGGATGATCCCCTGCTTCAGGTGTGCTGCCCCAAAGTGCCACCCTCACAGGTATAGATGGTCTGGAAAGCCTGAAGTGGGGGAGGGGGGCCCAAGGCAGTTGGCAGTGAGCTGAGAAGCCCGCATCCAGTTTTTGAGCTGAGGCCTGGGCTAGGACACCTCACCTGTATAGTGCTGCATCCCCGCGTAGGCCTGTTGTAGGGGGTCCACGGGGGCCGCGGGACTCTGGGCTGGGGAAAGCATCATGGACCATGAGTGCGCTTGAGACAGCAGGAGCCCCGCCAGCACCTCTGTGAGCAGAGGCCAAGTGGTGGGGAAGGGGGCCTGGTCTGGACATGGGGTGTGAGATGAGGAGGGGAAATGCACATGGCAAGGCGGGGGGGGGGGAGAGCCTAGCACAAGCCAGTCTATGACTGACTCCACCACCCCAGACATGGTGCTTCACCTCCCTAAGCCTCAGCCTCCCTGGTAGGGTCATCTCTACCGGAAAAGACAGAGCAGAAGAAAGCATTGTGAACCCCAAGGCTGGAGATGGATATGGGTATCAAGGCTGCCAACCACTGGAGTAATGGCTTGGATGGTTGCTAGGAGAGTGTGGACAGGCAGAGAGCCGCACCTGGGTAGGGGTGAACCCCATTGGGATACAGAGCATCAGGGGCAGGTTGCCCGGCGGGCTGGGTGGGCACCGGGCTGTAGCCGTTGACACCCAGTGCAGCAGGGATGGCAGATACGGGTGTGGCAGCAATGGCAGGAGGGGTGCTGGTTCCTAGGGAGGAGAAAGCGACAGAGACAGAACAAAGAAGCACGCGTTTGCATGCACGTGTGTGCGTGCGCATGTGCATACACACACACACACACACATACACAGATGCAGAAAACCAGTCAGCAAGTCTGAGGGCAGAGAGGAGCAAGCAGACCATTCTCTAATCCCTGAACCCTAATGTCTTCTCCTCTCCCCGCCCCCCCACCCCACCACACTGTAGTCCCCTTGTTCTGTGTATACCGAGCCCAGCCTGCTTTGCACAGAGCCTTACCTGAGGATGGGGTGATGGGAGTGGCAATGAGGCCATTGGCATTGATGGCAGCCATGTGCTGCATCTGCACGGCAGCCATGGTGGCCATGGGGCTGAGGTAGGCACTGTGGGCCGCTACCAGGGCTGCTTGCTGTTGCATCAGCTGCAGGTGGAGGAGGGAAGGGAGGAGTGAGGCCTGTCTTCCTCTCAACACTGGAAGCATAGGGCAGGACATGGGGATGGGCCATGTCCAGCACCAGGGGCATGCTTACGGCCTGCGTGTAGGCGCTGTAGGCTCCAAACTGAAGGGCGATGGGGCTGAACATGCCCAGCTGGGTGGCCACCTGCTGCATTCGGCGGAGACCTCGCTCCTTCTCTGTGTCAGCAAACTTTACCACCAGGCTGGATGAGGCACCCTGGGTAATAGACCCCACGTGTGGGCAGAGGCACAGTGCACATCTCTCCTTCCCCAGAGCCTTCTTAGCACCAGGCCTAGGTACTGTTCTTATGGCCTGGCCTCTTTGGGAGGCCCATGTCAAATGGGGAGATTCTAAGCTCACCATTTCCTTGTGCTAGGATGTACAAAAGGCAAAGGAAGAGTGAAGTCATGTGCTCTAAAAATGGAGGGCCTGTGGACACGGGAAGGGCCTCTCTGTATGAATTCCAGTGGCTTGGCCATAGCCAATCTTGCCTGGTAGCTGCCCCACTGCCCTGACATACTCCCCCCCTCCCCCAGTGCTCAAGCACAGTGGGTGCAGCCTCAATAACAAGCTGGGCATTGGTGACTCACACCTGTGATCCTAGTTACTCAGGGAGAGTGTGATCTGAAGATCAAGGTTCTAAGCCAGCCAAGCAAAAAAGTCTGTGAGATGTTTATCTCCAATTAACCACCAAAAAAACTGGAAGTGGAGGAGTGATTCTAAGGCTAGTTAAGCATGGAAATTGCTAAGGGATTGTGCCTGAGTTCATGCCCCAGTACACACACACACACACACACACACACACACACGCATTAATACAAGCCTGAACCAAATAAAAAAAATGGAACATTGATGAAACTCCTAGACTCAGAACTGGAAGGGGTCTAGGGCCACCTAATACAGTTCTCTGTTTGGTGCTATATCCTCTCTACCAAGTCCAAGTACCTCTAAGCTTGCTCAGCCTCAGCTAGAGATTTTTTTGTGTGTCAGTTGTGGGACCTGAATTTAGGGTTTGGGTGCTATCCCTGAGTTTTTTTGCTCAAGGCTGGTGCTCTCCCACTTTAAGCCACAGCACCACTTATGGTTTCCTGGTGGTTAATTGGAGATATGAGTCTCACAGACTTTTCTTGCCTGAGCTGGCTTCGAACTACAATCCTCAGATTTCAGCCTCCTGAATAGCTAGGATTACAGGCGTGAGCCACTGGTGCCCAGCTGAGAGATTCTTGAGGGGTTGGAAGCTCACTTCCTCTGTATCCAGCTAATTCTATTTTAGAAGAGTTCCCAGAGTGCATTCGGCAGAATCACCATGTAAAGGTACATGGGGCAGCCGGGCACCAGTGGCTCACACCTATAATCCTAGCTACTCAGGAGGTTCACGGTTCAAAACCAGCTGGGGCAAGAAAATCAATGAGAGTCTTATCTCCGATTAACCACCAGAAAACCAGAAGTGGCACTGTGGCTCAAGTGGTGGAATGCTCACCTTGAGCTGAAGAGCTCAGGGACAGCACCAAGACCCAGAGTTCAAGCTCCATAACCGACCAAAAAAAAAAAAAAAAGTGCATGGGGCCTCTAAGCAAGGGTCCTGATACCCAGCAAATAAGTGGGGATGGGGATACGGGAAGGCAGAGAGGAGCTGAGCGACAGAGGAAGGGGTTGAGGAATGGAGGAAGCAGGAGAGGAGGAGGATGGAATTTAGACTGAAGATGAGGAGTAGGGAGGCCTTAGTGGCTCTCACCTGTAATCCTAGATCAAGGTTTGAAGCTAGCCAAGGCAGTCTGTGAGACTCTTATCTCCAACCAGCTCTCAAGTGGTAGAATGCAAGCCTTGAGTGACAAAGCTAAGGGACAATGCCCCGGCACACACACACACACACACACACACACACACACACACACACACACACACTCAGGGTGGTATATAGAAGGAAGCAAGGACATGGTATTTGCCATGTGCAGAAGTCCCTAAGCAGTTTGATTCTTGGGCAGAACATTTCCTTTTGAATGAACTAAAAATCTTGTCCTGGGTAGGCTGTCCCTATGTGCCAGGGCCTGATGAGAAGTGGGGGGGGGGCGGACATCAGGGGATCAGGGCTCACCGGCAGCGTCCGGCTGCTGTGAAGTGTGTTGATAGCTGCCTGGGCCTCAGCATGGGTCTGGAACTTCACAAAAGCACAGCCTAGAAAGGTGGAGGTGGAGGAGAAAAAAAAGGTGAGGATTCTCGTCACGAAGGCGGGTGCCCGCTACCCAGGAGGCCAGTGGGGAAGGTCAGGAAAGCTAAAGAAGCCCATGAGAAGAAGGGGAGTGGGTGGGCTACCTTTGCTGGTGCCATCTGGCCCCCGGAGCACAGTGCACTCATCTATGGTCCCGAACGGCTCGAACATCTTCCGGACATCTTCATCTGTCTGCTGCTTCCCTAGCATCCCCACAAAGAGCTTCCGGTCTTCTGGGGGGTAGGGCACAGGAGAACAGGTTTGGTCAGGCCCTCCTGGCCTCTCTTCTCAGCCCCATCACTTTCCACACACCCCCCCCTCCCCAGAGATTTTGACATGCCTTTCCCCACTCTGGATACCAGTGGCTGCAGGTTGACAAAAGGGGCACTGGGTTCACTGACCTAACCTCCTAATTCTGAAGGATTTGAACTCCTCTCTGGGAATCAGTGTTGCCAGATCTCATCCCCTCCAGCCTTACTGACTCATCCTATCCGCACTTAGGCTTGGGAACTCTTCAGAACTGTCAGACTTGCTTTGTCAACAAAGGCTGCCTGGAAGTTCCTCCAAGCCTAGGGTTTGGAGGTGGGAAGAGAAGAGGATGAGTTCAAAAGGGAAGAACCTACCTCCTCGGCTCTCGCTGTCGGCTGGCTTGACCTGGATTGGCCTGTTCATCTAAAAGAGACAAGAGAGGGCAGCTGCAGGGACTCCCGTGCACACCCGAGACCCACACCCACACCCCAGACCAGGACCTCCAGCGAGGCTGAAAGGAGCAAGCTCCAGACATGGGCATTCTCCCTAGTCCCCTAAATTTGATGGGAAGGAAGGGGCTGGGCCTAATCTTGTCTGGAAGGACCTGAGGGGATTAGAGGCCGTGGAGAGAGGATGTGGAGGAAGATGCTCATCGGGCATAGTGCCAGGCTCAGGTTGACCAGTGATGCCTGAAACAGGTTATCCTTAGGCCAGAACTAGTCCTTTCCCTAGGCCCCAGGTCCTGAGACACAATCTAACCAAGGGGCTGTGTCCAGAGCTTCCTCCACCACAAAACAGGAGCCACAGGGGCCACCCCATGGAAAAGCAGCCCCAAGAAGGGCTCTACATTGAAGGAGACCCCACAGAGGCCCAGACTTCCTTCTGACCCCTGAAGGTGTGTCTGCCTCTTTTTCTGCCCCCCTACACCCCTTGACCCTAGGGGGAAGGAACTCGGGCAGCACAAAGGGAGCAGATGCCCAGTCTCCGTGGCAACGGGAGAATGCGCACCATGGCAACCGCCCACTCAGCCTGATTTATCCGTCCCCGTCGCCCTGGCGACCGTGGTGACGTCATCACTTCTGCCGCTCCACACACCCAGAGAAGGAGTGAGGAGGGGGTGGGAACGGAGTATGCTGGGGGTGGAGGATTTGGTAAGGGCTGGGAAGTGGGGGAGGGGCCCAGGAAAGCTCCCCGGTCCTGGAGGGAGGTGTGCAGAGCAAGCGTGAAGGGACCAAACTGTCCCTTCTCCTGCAGTGCAAATCCTGGAGGTCTGAAGCGCTGGGACAGTGCTGAAGTGCCAGATGCTGTCCCGCACCCCTGGCCCATTCTCCCCAGGACCAGGCAGGAAGTCTTCCGGAGCACACCTTCTCTCTGACCCCTGCACTAGCCTGCTTTGTTCAGTCAGCAGTGGGGATGATGCTAATTCTAGTTCCCCTCTTCCATGCCTTGTCTGGTGAGAAGACTAAGGAATGACTCCCACAGGTTGATTTCCTTCACTGGAGTAGGGATCTGGAAAGGGAGGAAAAGGACTCACGGCTCCAGGGTCTGGAAATATTTTGTTATTGAGGACTTTGCTCACTAGGGCTATACACCAAGTCCCCACATTCATACGTGGGACTGTCTTAGTTCTAATGACAACAACAACAAATGCAAGCCATTCTGAGGATGAGGTTAAGTGTGCCCTAAGGAAAGACACTGGACCAGGAGTCAGGAAAAAGAGTTCAAGGACAAGCCCTGCCACTCACTAGCTGTGAGACTTTAGATAAGTAACTTCTTTCCTCTGGGCCTCAACTTCCTCCTTTGCCAAACAAAAGGGCTCTGCAGACAGCTTCCTAACATTGAGAGATCTTGGGTGGCCTCACCCAGCCTAGGGTGAGCAGCACAGCAATGGCAGGCCCTCTGGGCCCTCTGCCAGTCAAGTATTCAGAGCCTTGGATCAACTGGTAAGTCCTACCTCAAGAGATAGTCCTGCCCCCACGGCCCCACCCCCAGTTCTCTGGGTTTGTGAGCAGCTGGGGAGGGAGGGAGGGTCTGCAGTCACACAAATCCTCCAGCCAACCTGCCCCTGGCTTTATCTCCCACCAATCTGGGATTATCCCATCCAAGGTTCAATCTCCTTAGGGGGGGGGAAGAGGGGGGGAGGGAAAGAGAGAGAGAGAGAGAAACATAAGGCAGGCAGGACCTGGGGGTCAGCAGCCCAGAGATTGATGGTCATTGACCTTCCTGTCTTTTGCACTGTAGCCCAAACCATCAAAGAAATTCCCCCACAGGCGCTTCATCCGCTCAGCACAGCCGCCCAACCACCCCTCCAGAGGTAAAGTCAGAACCAGGGTCACAGCGCAGGGTGGGGGGAGTGGTGCAGTCGGCACTACCCCTTCCCAACAGGCCTCTTGTGGATTTGCTGTTCTGGTTAGAGATGGGGAACCTGGGACCCAGAGAGAAAGGATGTGGTTCCCTCCAGGCACAAAAATAGCAGGTCAATAAATACCCACAGCTGATGTGGATTCACACAAAGACACCAGAGTGCACAGACCACAGCATGGGTCTCCCCACACACCCTCAAGGACAGGCTTCCTGGTACCCCCAGCGCTCTGCTCATTTCCAGCTGCCTTCTTCTTGGCTTGGTGCTTCCTGTGGGAAGCTCAGCTTTGTTAGCTTGCTCAGACACACCTGCCCCCTCCCCTGAGTCCAGCTGTGCTGTGTTTACCTGGCAACCAGGCAGGCACCTCTTCCTAGTTACCACCCGCCAGGCAATAAGCCCTCTCTAGGGCCTCCAAAAGAAGAAGGGGCTATTTATACCCCAACGGGTGCCAAGCTGCCCCTCCTTCTCATCCATAGTGAAGACCTACCTCCAAAAAGAGGCCTTCATCCCCTAAAATCTACTTGTCTTGAGAGAACAAGCGTGGAGCCCTGATACTAATTCCTGGCTCTACACTTGTTCCTAGTGTCTTAGTGTTCCTGATCCTACACAAGTGGAGCAGAGTCTACCTTCCCGGCCACAAGCTGACCAGGAGGACCCAGGGAGTAGGATTTTGGCTCAGAGTAAAAGGAAAGGATTAAGGCAGACAGATGTGTCCCTCCCAGCTCCCAGCTCGGGAGCCACACCCTGTGCTCAGAACAGATCCAGGGACCTGTGACACAGTCACCCCTGGGAACTCTCAGTGGAGAGAAGAGGAAATGGGGCTTGACAACCATAGACCAAGCCCCCCTTCTTTCTCTGCAGCCTAATATGGTAGCATTTTCTAGACTCCGGGGGTGACAAAGGTGCTCTGGTGAAACATGAACCTGTAGTAAGAGGCTTAGAGATTCGACTGTAAGAAAAACTTCCCCCCACAGAATCAGCAAGCAGCAGTGGACATCGTAACACACACACACATACACACACACACACACTGTCTGAGGGGCAAGACAAATGGCAGAAGTAAGGATGAAGGAACACGGAGAGTCAGACAGAGCTGGGCCGCAGACATCTGCTCCTGGACTGCCCTGAGTCTGCCCCTCAAGTGTTTTGTACAGGGTCCCCTGGGAAGATGGAACCCCTCATTTCCTACTGGAGGCTGTTCGGTCCCTCTGGACCCTGCCAACTAGGGCAGGAATGGGAACTCTGTCACCTGGGAGCTCTGGGGTAGGCTAGACTGAGTCATTACCTGGTGCCATTCTCCCCCCTCCCCCTCAGACAGCTCTGCTGAGCTGCATGGGCGGCTGAGAGGACGCACACAGGGTAGAGGCGTCTAGCTGGCACACAGCACACCTGAGGTTCCTACCCACTCCCAGGCCATCTCTCACCTAAGGCCCGCTCTGGTCTCCCTTTCCATATTCTCTTTTCTCCCCTGTCCCCACTGGTTCTACCAGGGCTTTGAAATGGGGGAACGACAGGAAAAGACCAACACCAACAGGACATGGAAGCTGTGGGCTTGGTCAGGGCTTCCAGAGAGAAAAAGGAAAGGAAGGGAAGTTCAGACTCAGTAGCTACCAGCCTGCATGTGCCCAGACTCCCACATCTGGCCAGTTGGGTGCTTACATGCATTTGTGCAGAACACAGGCTCACCCTGCATCTCTGAGCCTGCTCACACACATACACCAATCCTCCACTTTGCAGCCCTAGCTATTCTTGTGATGGGTTAAGATGGTGGGGGAGGGGCAGTGGGTTTGATCTCCCAGCTACACTCCAGGGCTGAAGACCAGGGAGGACCTAACTTTGATGTTGGGTGTGGTAGAAACAGGTTTGATGTTCTCTGCCTCTATCTATTTTGTCTATTTCCTCCTAGAAAAGATGGACGGTCTACACTGTTCTCCATATCCCAGGTGGGGAAGGGGCAGAGGCTTGGACAGCTGTGTCTCCAGTATTTGGATGGTTCTGAGCAAATGTTTGCTGAAGGCAGGGTGGAGCCAGACCTCAGGAAGTACTTCCTGGGATCCACAATCAGAGAGAAACTAAGAAGCAGGTAGCAAAAGGGAGTAGACCTCCCTCTTCTATCCCTCTCCCCCAACCAGTTCTGCAAGGGGGTAGCAGTCTGAGATTATTTAATCTTAACTTCAGTTGCCAACCCAGGCCTGGGACAATCTGTAAGTCTGGCTGAGAAGAAGAAGAAGGGGGGAAAGAAAAACACCTCAAACCCAAAGAGATGTGACCTTGCAGTGAGGAAGCCACTCCAGAGCCACTTCTGCACATTTGGCCAGCTCAGATCTGATCCTATCTGATGGTGTCTGCATTGCTATACCTAGGCTAACATCCTGCCCAGGCCCCACTTGACCCTGATGCCTGTGGCATCAGAGGTTCTTGGGGTTCTTTCTAGAAAACAAGAAGGGAGTCTGTCTGAGCTCAGAAACCAACACAGAGCAGACAAATCCAACAGGCCCATCTGCCTGTTCGCAGGGTGGCAGCACCCCTCCCCCATCCTACAGCCACCTCGGCTGCCTCTCTAGAACTACAAGTAGAGTGTCTTGGGTATCTCCCATTCACACTGACACAGGTGTCCAGTTGTCACCCTACACTCCCAACCAGCTAAAGTCCTCCTTCTAGCTTGGCTAGTGGACAGGTTGGTAAGTGGAAAGGAGCTGTATCAACTCCTTACGAGGATCACATTTAGTCCTTTAATTGATCTTTTCCTTCTCCCCAGGTAAGAGACTTGCATGCATCTATAACAAGAAAGGTGGGTGCTAGAAAAAGAGACGAGGGCCTTCCTGGGGATGAGAAGTAGAAAATAAGCTCTGTATCTTGGAAGGGTTGTGTGCCCCCTGCCACTTCTAAGGTCATTTTTCAGCCCCTTGGCCCTGAAAAGGACGGGACTCACCCCTGGAAGCGTCTTCTGTTCGTGCAGGGCGCTCTGGGCCTTCAGGGCTGAATCGCGGGCACAGTATGTCAGGAAGGCACATCCTGAGGAGGGGCATGGGCAGAGAGACAGGGTGGGGGATGAGTCTCTGGTCTCTCCTCCATAAGGGGCTCCCCCATGGCTGAGGACTGGAGAGCTTTTCCCTTCTAGTCATCTTCTGCCATATGGGCTGGGAAAGATCTGAGAGGAGTAGAATGGTGCTCTGGAAGTGGGGGACAGAAACCTGGCAGGCCAAATGCTGGTGGTTAATGAAGAAGGAAGGGCAAGTGGGCTGTTGAGAGATGGAGGTGGGATGGCTCTGATCTCAGTGTGCAGAATGTGGCTCTGTCTTCCTCAGTTTCTATGCTTTCCCCTTTCTCCTTTGCCCTCTCCTCCCTCCATCTTGGCCATCAACACCCTTTTCCACTCCCATTTTCCCTGTTTCTCCCCAACTCTGTGGGAGGCAGGTACAAGTTGGATAGTAAACAGAAAAGGAAAGGGAAGGACAGTTAGTGGAAGTGCCTTTTCCCTGTGCCCAGTGCTGGGAGGGAGGCAAGATGGGCCTTGGATCTTGGTGCCTGGAGCTTTCCAAAGTCTGACCCTGGGACTGGCTCTGCTTTTTAGCAGTACTGCCCTCAGAGAAGCCTTGGCTCTTAACTTTCTAAATCTCCTACACTTTCCCATACTCCATGTCCTGCTTCTCCAATCCCTTTTTTTAGCCCTGGGGATGCCCAGGCTGGCCATCTCTACTTTCTAGGTTGATCCCTATCCCAGCATTATCTGAGCTTACTCAGATTCTCAGTCTTGCTATACACACACACACACACACACACACACACACACACACACACACACACACACACACACACACACACCCCACTGGCTTTTTACCTCCAAAACCAACTCGCTCATCTCTCCAACCTCTTGAGTTCATCCCATGCCATCCACACACCCCTCCATCCCTAAGGTCCACACCTCTGTATCCCTGTTGACAATTCTTTACCCCAAAGAGCCCTTTTCACTTCTCCATCCTGGAGTGCCCTGGTCACTCTAGCTAAATTCTCTTCCAATGTCTCCATCACAGTCCCCTGAGCTCTTCTTCCATAGCAGCCCATTGCCAGCCGCTCTGTCCCTCCAGTTTGGCCTCCTCCCTCCTCCCAGGCCCCCACAGCCCCAGTCACTGCCACCTCTCCAGTCTGGCCTGACCCCTCACCCTTGTGCAGCCCGGTGTACTTGTCCTTGATGACAGTCAGCTCGAAGATCCGACCAAACTGCTCGAAGATGGGCTTCAGGTCCTTTTCCTCCAGATGCCTCGGGATCTGCCCCACAAACAGCTTGATGGCATCCGGCTCCTTCATTGGGGCGGCCCAGGAGGAGGGGCCGAGGGGAGCAGGGAGAGGCCCAAAGGCCAGGGGAGCTGCCCAACAAGGAGGCAAGTGGTGGGAGCCAGGAGCCCAGGCAGGCCGGCCTTCCCTTTGGCCCCCAACCACACTGCTGAGCAGAGGAGAGCAGCTCTTCACACAAAGGAGGCCCAGGGAGTTGAAGTCTGGGGGTCAGGGGTCTAGGCAGACACTATGATGCCACCAGGGGGCATAGCCCAAACAAACAATCTCCCTCCCTGAGATCTGGCAGATAGCCCAGGATGGGGGTCAGTGTGGCCAGCACCTGGAGGGTTAGGGCGGTGGGCAGCAGGCACTGGAGCTGGGAGGGCTGGCAGCTGGGAGGGGAGAGGGGAGCAGAGGCGAGGGGACCGGGCCCGGGGCGGCGGCGGTGGGCTGTGGGGGGGAGAGGGCAGGGCGAGGGGCCTGATCTGGCTGCCAGCAGCGTCAGTGAGGGGGGCCCACTCCTGGTGTGGGGCAGGTGGCTCTCTCGTTGCTTTCCCCGGGAGGACACCTCCCCTGTGGCTGGTGCTTCTGCTGGGTCCGAAGATCCCTGATGCCAGATGCTTGATCTCTGATGGCGGCGGGGCTCCGGGGGTCCCTTCTGCCCTGCCTCCCCCCCACCCCCCGTTCAGGTCCTCCCCTCGGCCCCCCTCCCGCCCCCACCCCGGTCCCCGGGCCTAGGCTGCCGTGGGCTGCTCCCGCCGCTGGGGCTGGGGCTGCCTGCTTTCCCGGTCACCTGGGTCCCGGAGCTCTGCTCTCCGGCCGCGCTCTCCTCAACAAAAACCTCCCCCCTCCACACCCCCCTCCCCACTCCCACCTCCTCTCCCCTGACATCAGTGATGTCAGTCTCAGGGGTGGAATACAAATTCTCTACCGTAGCGAGGGACGCACAATCCAGGCAGGAGCCACGCCCTCTCCCTATCGCCGTCCTCCCTGACTCCCTTTCCCGCCCCCCCCCCAGAAGAGCAGCTGGTCCTGTTGATAACAGCCCTTCCCCCATCTTACTCCCCAGTCAGGAGTTGGGCAAGGCGCTGAGATGGAGAATTTATCGAGGAGCCCTAAGGTGGGGTCCATTGTTCCGGGGGCTGGAGCTGTCCCCGGTGCTGGAAGAGAAGACCCAGGCGATGGGAGCTGGGGGTGGGGAGGCCAGAGGAGTCCAGGAGCAGAGAACCGAATAGGATGTTTGGGCAGGTTGAGGGGAAGCAAGGAAGGTGTAGACAGAGTCGGGGGGGGGGGGGGGGGAGACAGGAGGAACCCAGAGAGGAAAAAAGGAAAGAGAGATGAAGGGAAAAACAGATTGAATTTTGTGTCTGTGCTGGAAGAGGATCTAAGGAGAGCCATAGCTTTCTGGCATTTGCGGGGGGGGGGGGCCCTTCCCTCCCTCTGGGAGGTGTGTGTGTACATGCTAGGCAGGGCAGCGCTGCAGGAAGCTCCTGGAAGACGCGGGTGAAGTCTGCAGGGTTTAGCCCTGGGTCTTGCTCTCGCATCCATAGCAGGTGCTTCACACACACTCAGGTGAAGAACCTGTGACCAGTGTAGACTCCGATTCCTTCCGTGGGAAGAGAAAACACAGCTGTCAAGCTCCCCTTTGAGGCAGAGAAACTCAATGACTCCTTCCTTTGCTCTCCCTGCAATTGGGTTCCTAGGGCGGAACTTGGTCCTGATCAAATCAGGTAGCAAAGAGGAGTAGAAAAGTGCATCTGGGGACCATTACTCCCTGAGACAATTCTACTTCGAGGTGTGATCTGTAGGCTCCATGATCTAGAGGGAGCCTACCCTCTCCTCGATGCTCTGGGTCCACTGGCAGCCCCCATCAGGGCAGGGAGTGCCTGCTGACATCAGACCTCAGCGCTGACAGCCCAGGTTTTCCATTGGGCACTTCACGCCCAGCTTTGGTAGAATACCCTGCCTCCCGGTGGTTCTCCTCATCCTAGGGTGGGGCTGAAGTCTCCACAGCGGTGCCTGAATCTCTGAACTACATCGCAGCCAGATCCCATCAGTCTCCATTCCTGAGCTATCCCAGCAGGCGGGCTCCTCTCCTGGAAGTAAAATAAATAAGAGCAACAGGGCTTTTATGGCACTTATAGTGTCCTAGGCATTGTTCCAAGTGGGTTATACTTTCTAACTGGTTTTTCCTTGCCCACTGCCTCGGATGTGAATTCTGCCATCATCTCCAAGTAGAGATGAAGAAACCAAGACACAGAGTGATTAAATGACTTGCCTAAGGCCACATGGCTAGAAAAAAAAAGGTGTAGCTATGATTGGAACCCAGGACATCTGGCTTTTAAGTCCACGCTTTTAACTCCCACATCCAACATTCATCTTGGGACCAGGGGTAGTGATTACCTGACCGTTCTCCTCTGCCTTTAGGGGACTCTGGTGAGATTGCCGTTCCTACTGCTTGATTCCCTGATGGCCACCGGCCATCCTTTCTTAGCCTGGAACTGTATTGTGGCAGGTGTGTGTATTGGAGTGGATATGGCTGTGGGGAGACTTCATACATTTTATCAGGTCCTCCAAGCTATAGTTCCCTAAAATGGGGATCTTGGTGCTGGTGTGGGGAGTGTTAGAGGACTCCCTGGTAGGTGGCCAGAGGATGCGATGATGGTGCCCAGGGAAGAGGAAGTACAAACATATCTCTCTCCAAAGTAACTTTCCACTCACTGCCCCACCCCCACAGAGCCTTTCTTGCATTCTAATTTGATTTCCTTGGTATTTATGGTGATGCTAAACAGATCACAACCTTTGAGGATGGAGAAGAGAAGACCCCCAAGGCTGGGCTGTGTTGATCTCATTACACTACGTCTTCTCAGCAGATCTGCCGCCCTGCTGTTCATTCAGGCTTGGGCCTAATCATATTAATTGAAATATTAAACATTTACAGAAATGAATTTCAATGAACTCCTCTCACTCCTCCTCCCAGTCAGTAATTGTGGAGATAACTGCAAGCAAGGAAATAGTTCCAGTCTTTCTGTTTTCAGTCCCAGATGGAGACGGCAAAATGAGAGGAGCATCAGGGATTTAGTGGGGAGAAAGGGCGCTCCCTTCAGACCTTCCTGCTTGAGTAACAGATGTTCTTTCAGGGCCAGGAGATAGGAAGTAAAGGGGGGGGGGGGGGGGGGGGGGGGGGGGGGGGGAACCTCCTGACTCAGACATCCTTTGTGGTCAGTTTCTCTCTGGAGGAAATAAAGCTTCAAGTCCTAATTCCTCCAAGATACTTAAACTCTGCCCTCCACCCCCAAGCTCACCTTTTACTTCTTCAGTCAAAGCATAAAAAAAAAGACTGTTGGGCTGGGAAGGTGACTCAGTGGTAGAGTGCTTGCCTCGCATGCATGAGGCCCTGGGTTCGATTCCTCAGCACCACATAAGCAAAAAGAAAAAAGCCGGAGGTGGCGCTGTGGCTCAAGTGGTAGAGTGCTACCCTTGAGCTGAAGAGCTGAGGGACAGCGCCCAGGCCCAGAGTTCAGGCCCCACGACTGGACCCCCCCACACAAAAAAAAGACTGTTGACTTTATAAAGGAGATCTTTGTTCCTGGTTTTAGAATCATAGGCAGTGAAAAATGTCAGATAACGGGTATTTTTGAAAAAGGGGGAACTGTGTTGGTATGTGTGGACAGTGTGGCTTGTGAGATTGAACAGAGAATGAGGAGATCAGTAGCAGAATGGATAAGAGCGTACAAAGAATTAATTATAAAACCTCCCTGACCTCAAGTGGGGAGGTGGGAGAGGAAAACACAATAGATAATCATGAGCCCTGAGATGCTGTTAAGCAAACACTGGTGGTTCATGTCTGTAATCCGAGCTACTTAGAAGGCTGAGAGCTACAGGATGGCTATTTGAAACCAGACCAGGCAGAAACCTCACTAGACTCCATCTGCAAAATAACCAGCAAAAAACAGGGCTAGAGGTGTGGCTCAAGTGGCAGAGTACCAACTAAGTAAGCACAAGACCCTGAGTTCAAAGGTCAGTAACACACACACACACACACACACACACACACACACACACAGCCTTGGGCACACAATGTGATCAGTCAGGAAAGCCTTGGTGGATTCTCAATGCACAAGAAGATTACAAACTAGCAGGAAGATTTAACAATGTTTTTATGCATGGGGAAGATAAAGAGATTTATCTGTGTGTATGTTGTGTGGGTTTGTATATGTAGGTCTGCTTGTCTAGACTCCAGTGCTGTCTAAATGCCGAGCACATATATAATTTAATATTTTTCTAGTGTGGCTGGGAAGATGGCTCAGTGGTAGAGCACTTGCCTTGCATGCCTGAGGCCCTGGGTTCGATTCCTCAGCATCACATAAGCAAAAAGAAAAAAGCCAGAAGTGGCGCTGTGGCTCAAGTGGTAGAGTGCTCGCCTTGAGCTGAAGAGTTGAGGGACAGCACCCAGGCCCAGAGTTCAAGCCCCACGACCCGACCCCCGCCAAAAAAAATATTTTTCTAGTAGCCACATTAAAGAAGTAAAAAGCAACAAGTGAAATTACTTTTAAAAATGTATTATAGTTGGGTGCTGGTGGTGTGCACCCATAATCCTAGCTATTCAGGAGGCTGAGATCTGAGGATTGTGGTTCAAAGCCAGCCCAGGCAGGAAAGTCTGTGAGACTCATATCCAATAAACCACTCAGAAAACTGGAAGTGGTGCTGTGGCTCAAGTGGTAGAGCACTAGCCTTGACCTGAAGAGCAGAGGGGCAGTACCCAGGCCCAGAGTTCAAACTCCATGACAAAAAAAAAAGTATTTTAGAGAGAAGGAAGGAATGACATTGTCCCAAAAGAAATGTTCTCATTACCTGACTTATGAAATGGCCCCTCTATATATCATCTTTATAATAACAAAATATTTAACAAAATTTTTTTATTTAGTCTGTTCTAACTCAAACACGATTTCTACATATAATCAACTTAAAACTATTCAGCTATTTTACATTATTTTTTATGCCAAGTCTTCAAGATTCAGGATTTATTTTACATGTCTAATCTATGTAACACTCAACAGCCATGTTTCAAGCATGAAAAGCAATGGGCTTGGAGCCAGAGGCCCACACCTAGATAATCTTTGCTACATTAGGAGGCTGAGATCTGGCAGATGGTTATTCGAAGCCAGACCAGGCAGAAAAGTCCTTGAGATTCCCATCCACAAAATAATTAGCAAAACACTGAGCTAAAAGTGTAGCTCAAGTGGTGAAGGGGCCAGCTGAGAAAGTGCAAGGCTGAGTTCAAATGTTGGTACCAGAAGAAACTACACAACATCAACAAAGCCAAACAAAACAACAAAACAATGAACAATGGGTGGCTTGGGATCATCCTGGCTAGTGAAGCTCTGGGGGAGGGTGACAAGAGACAGGTCTTGGCCAATAGGAACGATCGCCTCTGGTTAACCTCTGTTCCTGTTGGAAAACATTGCACTTTGGACAGATGGTAGCTTATCTCCCTCTCACTGTATTAACTTTTGCCCCTAAAAAAATGGACTACCCATCAAAATGATCTCTAACCCTGATGAGGTTTCTGAGACGAGGTTTAAGCCCTCTCCCAACATTTCTGTGGCTCTTCTGTCTTTGCTGGGAAATGTTAGGGGCAGCCCGCTAAGAATCCCTCTGTGGCCTGAGGATGAGCTTATGTCTCACGCTATTCCCTTGCTTTCTGGAGCAGTTGTTCACCAGTCTAAAAAGACAGCCCCTCCTGCAGGGTTTTTGTCTCCAGCCTCTCAGAAAGCCTCTGCTGGGCATCATCTCTGTGGGTGTGGAAGCTGTGTGTGTGTGTGTGTGTGTGTGTGTTTACAGACAGGCTCCTGCCCTTTCCAGGCAGCTATTTTCAGCTCTGTGGCTTTATGTTTCACTTACCCTTCTTAATCAGATACTACAAGAACAAATCTCGAAGACCAATTCCATTTCTCCTCCCTTATTCAATCGGGAGTGGGAGAAATCATTTAGAATTTATGAGGAACCCAGGGTGAAAAGAAAATTAATCTACATAAGTCAGTCCAAGAGGGGAAATTCTGCCAAAATGTCCCACGGGTCCTTTCCGGCATCCAGAGTCCAAGAATGTTCTTTCCTTTGCAGATCTCAGCTCATCTCATGCTCTGGGGTACTTTCATGCTTGTTAAGAATCCCAGACTTCAATGTCAAGTGTGTACAGGACAGATAGAAGGGCTGGCTTCTGGCCAGTGGCTAGGGAACAAGCTTGGGTTCCTTTCTTTTCTTTTTTTTTAGGTTTATTTTAATTTTTATTTAAAGGTGATGTACAGAGGGGCTACAGTTATATAAGTCAGGTATTGAGTACATATCTTTCTTTTTTTTTCTTTTGGCCAGTCTTGGGGTTTGAACTCAGGGCCTGAGCACTGTCCCCGAGCTGCTTTTTGCTCAAGGCTAGCATTCTACCACTTGAGCCACAGCGCCATTCTGGGCTTTTTCTGTGTACGTGGTGCTGAGGACTTGAACTCAGGGCTTCATGCATGCTAGGCAAGCACTCTACCACTGAGCCACATTCCCAATTTCTTTCTGAGCAGTGTCACCCCACCTCATTTTCTCCCAGTTTTTTTCCCTCCCGACTCCCCTCCTCCTCCCAAGTTGCACAGTTCATTTCCAACATAGTGAGTATCATTGCTGAATTAGTTCACGCTTTGTCCCACCATTTCTGTGCTTCCCTTTCCCTTTCTCTTCCACTAGGACCAGACTTCCTCCAACTTGGGCCTGTTAGGAACTGGACTTTGGGAGAGCCTTCCCTTAGAGATCTTTTTCTATCCGATTTAATACTATTTGAGTCAATGAGAAAGGCTCATTTCACCTACAATTAAGTTAGTTTAAAAAAAAAAAGTAAGTCCTCAAATCCAGGAATGAAGATCGTTTGGAGACGCCTGCCCCCGCGCGACACCACGTCTTCGTCCCTCAAGTTAGCTCCAGCTGCAGCTCCCGCTCCCTTTCCTGGACGGGTTTCTCTCCTTTCTCTGGAGAGGGCGGGGCTTGGGGCGGGCCGGGGGCGGGGCCCGGGACAGGGGGCGGGGCCCGGGACAGGGGGCGGGGCCCGCCCAGCTCGCGCGCCTGTCGCCTTGACGACCGAAGCAAAATGGATGGGCTGCAGGGCGGCTTGCTGGGGCCGGACCCTGGGGCCCTGAGCCCCGAGCAGATCGAGGAGCTTCGGAAAATCAAGGTGCGTGGTCCGAGCCTTCATGCCTTCCTCCGTCAGTGAAAAGTGCAGCTCCCCAGGGCTGGACCCCCCCCTCTGCCCCCGCCGCTCCGCCCCCGACGGAGCGAAGGGCCCCCGAGGGGAGGGGAGCAGGAGCCCACCCCTGGTGAAGGGGTCCCGGAGAGGATCTTTGGGGTTTCTGGGGGTCCTGAAGGCAAGATTTAAAGTAGGGTTCCTTCTGGAGAAATGGGGAGAAATGAGTGCCAGATTCATCGGTTCAGATACAAACAAGGGTTTAATGGCCTTAATAATAAGTTCCCTAAGCCCTAACAGGAAGCAGCCGGAAGATGTCGAATCTCTGTATACACACGGGACCTGGGCGGCTTCCGTTTACAAGCACCCTGGGGAAAGATCGAGGTTACCCGTGGAGGTTGTTTCCCCGGCCTTTCACACCTCTGGGGTTGAACTGGGTCTATCCCTTCGAGGAGCGGTGGGTGACCCTTGGCTCTTGCTCCAGATCCAGACTCGGATTGCAAATGAAAAGTACCTAAGGACCCATAAAGAAGTGGAGTTGCTCCTAAATGGCTTCTTCAGGTAGGTGACTTTCCAGACTGACCTTGTGCAACTAGTGGAAAACTTCCTGGGTCTTGCTATAGATCGATGAATAGGAGTGTCCCTTTTCTTCATACATTCCCTATTGCTTCTACCTTCTTAAAAGTTCGAAAATACCCTAAGACGAACTTTTTCTTTTTTTTTTTTTGGTCCAGTCGTGGGGCCTGAACTCTTGGCCTGGGCGCTGTCCCTCAGCTCTTCAGCTCAAGGCTAGCACTCTACCACTTGAGCCACAGCGCCACTTCTGGCTTTTTTCTTTTTGCTTATGTGGTGCTGAGGAATCGAACCCAGGGCCTCATGCATGCAAGGCAAGCACTCTACCACTGAGCCAACTTCCCAGCCCAGACGAACTTTTTCTTACAAGAGAGTTTGTCTAACTTTATTTTATCTCTAAAATTCTTAAGCTGGATGCCTGTGGCCTAAGCCTGTAATCCTAGGTACTCAGGAGGCTGAGATCTGAGGATCATAGTTCAACTGAGGATTTTCAGTATACCTTAAAGATTTCCTTCAGTTATCTCTAAATTCAGTTAATAATACAGTTAAAATATTAATGCTCATTTACTTTAACTGTGAAAATAAATGTGTACCTACCATATGACACTTGGAAGAGGGAATGGAAAAGGGAATTTGACCTTGGGCAACCCAAAGCCAATAGATACAGAATACTGCTCTCAGCCAGAGGAGCTCAAGATTCTTAGTAGAAATTTAAGAAAAAAATCACACGTCTGGCTCTTCCCTACTGAGATGAAGTATCTTTTTCAAGTTACTGACCTATGATTCAAACCCTGGTTCTATTTTTTTTTTT